CTGTGTCCATGGGCTATGATATATGCATATAAATTCCCCCTGGTTAACCTCTGCCCACCCACCTCTGCCTTCCCGCTGAAATTCATCAGTCTGTTCCATGCTTCTATGTCTCTAGATTTATTTTGTTCATCAGTTTATTTTCTTCATTAGATTCCACATATGAGTGAGATCATGTGACACTTATCTTTCTCTGACTGAATTATTTCCCTTAGCATAATACTCTCCAGGTCCATCAATGCTGTTGCAAATGGTAAGAGTTCCTTCTTTTTTTACTGCCATGTAGTATTCCATTGTGTAGGTGTACCACAGCTTTTTTATTCACTCATCTGCTGATGAGCACTTAGGCTGTTTCCAAATCTTAGCTATTGTAAATTACGCTGCTATGAACATGGGGTGCATACATTCTTTCTGATTGGTGTTGGAAGAATCACAATACCAGATATCAAGTTATACTACAAGGCTACTGTATTCAGAACAGCCTATACTGGCACAAGAACAGGCATATAGATCAGAGGAACAGAACAGAGACTCCAGATATTGACCCAAGCCATTATGCTCAATTAATATTTGACAAAGGAGGCAAGAGCATGCAATGGAGTCAAGACTGTCTCTTCAATAAATGGTGTTGGGAAATGGACAGGTACATGCAAAAAAAAAAAAATGAAACTAGACCACCAACTTACACCATACACAAGAATGAACTCAAAACGGATAAAGGACTTAACTGTAAGTCATGAAACCATAAAAATCCTAGAAGAAACCATAGGCAGTAAAATCTCAGACATCTCTTGTAGCAATATATTTACCAATACATCTCCTAGGACAAAGGAAACCAAGGAGAAAATAAACAAATGGGACTACATCAAAATAAAAAGTTTCTGCACAGCAAAAGAAACATCAACAAAATGAAAAGAGAGTCCATTGCATGGGAGAATATATTTGCCAAGGATACATCTGATAAAGAGTTAATTTCCAAAATATATAAGGAACTCATACAACTTAAAAAAAGGAAGACAAGCAACCCAATTCAAAAATGGGAAAAGGACCTAAATAGATACTTCTCCAAAGTGGACATACAGAAGGCAAGAAACATATGAAAAAATGCTCAAAGTCACTAATCATTCGAGAGATGCAAATTAAAACAACAATCAGGTACCACCTCACACGTATCAGAATGGCTATCAACAACAAATCAACAAGCAGTGTTGGTGATGTAGAGAAAAGGGAACCCTAGTCCACTGTTGGTGGGAATGTAGACTGGTGCAGCCACTGTGGAAAACAGTATGGCATTTCCTCATAAAGTTAAAAATGGAACTCCCATTTGACTCTTTCAGGAAATTCTTAAACTCTTTTTTTTTTAAATTTTTTTTTAAAATATATTTTATTGATTTTTTACAGAGAGGAAGGGAGAGAGATAGAGAGTTAGAAACATCGATCAGCTGCCTCCTGCACATCTCCCACTGGGGATGTGCCCGCAACCAAGGTATATGCCCTTGACCGGAATCGAACCTGGGACCCTTCAGTCTGCAGGCCGACGCTCTATCCACTGAGAGAACCGGTTTCGGCAAATTCTTAAACTCTTAAAGTGTCAGCTGACTGGGGAAAATGGAACTAAATATTATTGAGCCATCTACTATGTGCCAATCTTATTCTAGGTACCAGGATACAAAGATAAATAAAAACAAGATCATTACTCTTATGGAACTTCCACTCTATTATAAGAGAAATCTTAAAAACAAGATGTGGCCATTGATTGCAATGATGACCTCAATTAACAGCCTTCCTATATCCACACTCTTTGTCCTATAATTTCTATGTCCTCTCACTCTGAATTGGGTCTTGTGACTTGCTTTGGCAAATAGAATGCATTGGAAGTGACTGTGTGCCAGTTCCAAGCTTAGATCTCAAGAGGCCTGGTGAGCTTCCACTCTGTCTCCCAGGCCCCTGCTATTGCCATGGGCTAGCCTGCTGGAGGATGAAAGACCATAGGGAGGAAAGCTGAGATGTTCCAGCGAACAGCCAACCACTGCCTAGAAGCAGAGCCACCCAGCTCTCCGTAGGCACATGAAGGAGCCCAGCCAAGGCCAGACCTGTTCAGCTGAACTCAGCCCAAATCACCAACTGCAGAATTATAAGCTAAGTAATGGCTGTTGACAGTGACTAAGCTTTGGGGTGATTACACAGCAAGAGCAGACTGAAACACAGGTGGCCTCTGATAGGTATGTGAAGATGAAACTGAAAGAATTACTTCCATTCCGGTCCTTGCTGAACCTAGAGCTTAACTGAAAAGACCTCATATACTGTAAAGTGAGGGGCTGCTTGGAACACCTCTACCACACAGGTACTTGACCCAGACCCCCTCAAGAGGGCTCACCAACCTTGCAAGACAGGATGTTTCCGAAGGTGGAGAAGGTATCATATAAGGCCTTGTTGTCAATGGACTCCTCCAGGTTCTTGATGAAGATGTTGCCCACACCCGACTTTCGAAGTCTTGGGTCTCGCTGGGACCACATGATGCGAATGGGTTGGCCTTTGATAACCTCAAAGTTCATTGTGTCCAGTGCCAGCTCCGCTGGACAGAAGAAGGAGAGAAAGGAGCAAGTTAAGGGGACTCCCTGAGCCCTCAGGTGCTTACTGGTAATTGGGAGCCTCCTTCCAAAAAAAAAAGAGCCAGAGTCTGGGTCTCACTGGAGATAGAGCCTGAAGGCTCAGGAGGGATAAGAATTAAAGTGTATGGCACTCCTCCCACTTTTTAGGATCTCATTCAACTCCTCACTATAGCCACGTGAGCATGGATTTCTACCCCCATTTTACAGAAGGGAAAACTGAGGTTCAGAAAGGGGAAAGATCAGTGGCAGAGCCAGGTCTACTGTGGTCTCTAAAGCACACCGAGTAGATAAAAATGTAAAGGAGGGCCTCTATGACAAACGGTGGCAGCAGTCAGAGGAAATTCAAGCTCAGAGGTGCTGAGCAGCAGAGTTGAGATTTGAACCCAAGTAGTAGGATGTTGGGGGAGGCAAGCATCACCTCTCTGAGCTGGTTTCTTCCTCTAAAGTAGTGATGATGATGATGATATTAACCACCCTTTCACACCTACCTCTAGGTTGTTGGACAGGCTGAAAATTAAATAAGGTATGCAAGGTGCCGCCCTAGCCGGGTTGGCTCAGTGGACACAGCGTCGGCCTTCGGACTGGGAGGTCCTGGGTTCGATTCTGGCCAAAGACACATGCCAGGGTTGTGGGCTCGATCCCCACTAGGGGGCGTGCAAGAGGAAGCCAATCAGTGATTCTCTCTCATCATTGATGTTTCTATCTCTCCCTCTCCCTTCTTCTCTGAAATCAATAAAGAAATATATATATTTAAAAAGGTATGCAAGGTGCCTTGTCCTTAGCACCTGGCACGAAACAGATGGTTGGCAAATGGCAGTGTGTCTGAAAACAGCAGCCTATGCCTGTCCTCTTGTGACTGCTATGGCCTTTACCTCTCCCCGGTCACATGCTGTCCCTTGCTTAAAGGATTCCTCTACCTTCAGAGGCATGGACAGGAACTGTGCATAACTCAGTGGAGTCTGGTTTTTCCATCAAGTTCTACCAATGAACACCCAGGGCTAAACCCCTTCTCTCTGGAGCTCAGCTTCCCCATCTATGAAGTCTGGCCAAAAGGTCAGGTGTGCAGAACTTGGAGAAAGCTGGAAATGGCAGTGGGTGGGGAAAGCAGAGCAAAAGAGAAGCCCCCCTGGAATCCAGCTCAGTCATCCCCCTGGGAAACAGGCTGAACCACCCCAGCAAACCCCCAGCTGGAGGGGAACCTCCCCATCCACCCAGCAGACGCAGAGTAAGCCTTGTTGGGTTGTTTCTGGAGTCTTGCACCTGAATGCTGGTTACTTTTTTTTTTCTTAGGTTACACTTATTGAGCCCATGCAGTGGTTCTCAAACCTTCTAGCCCTTTAAATACAGTTCCTCATGTTGTGACCCAACCATAAAATTATTTTCGTTGCTACTTCATAACTGTAATGTTGCCACTGTTATAAATTGTAATGTAAATATCTGATATGCAGGATGGTCTTAGGCGACCCCTGTGAAAGGGTCGTTCGACCGCCAAAGGGGTCGCGACCCACAGGTTGAGAACCGCTGTAACTGGAGAGACTTCATAGACAGTTTTCCTTCCAAGCCTTAGCTCCCATTTCACAGATGAAGTGTCAAGTGTGAACTTTTGCTCAAGCTCACACCCTAGTGGAAAAACTTGAGCAAAACCGGGGCTCTTAAACTCTCATCAGAGGTGTGGGCACACCCACCCCGCAAGCGCTAATCAGCTAATCAATCCCATCAGCTCTGAGAAACGGGTTGTGGAGCCTAAGGTGGAGGCGGTTTTTCTGGGCTTGCCAAGGGAAAAGCGCCTGGTGCAGACCTGGTGTCAGCAGCCGGGTGAGCCCGAGCCCCAGGCCCAGCTCTCCTGGCTTCCCGACTCTTTACCTATGAGGCCTCCCACATCGCCTCACCAGGTGCTTTGAATTTTCTCCTCCTCCCAACCCCTCTATCAAGCAGGTCCGCTCCCCATTTTTCAGAAAGGCAAGGGAAGCTTAGAATGGTTGAGTAATTTGCTCAAAGTCACACAGCTGCTGGCTTTCTAATCCTAGGGTTGGCCTGGCCCTAAAGCCCTTGGATGTTTCCACTCGGCCTCACTATCTCCCCTCTACAAACTGGGGCACCAGGAAAACACACAGTAGGCACACACTAATTGCTAGTTCCTGCTCAGGGCCTCAGGGGGCTCTCTGGACCTGTTTCCCTGGCTGCAAAACTGAAGCTGCAGGAGCAGAGATGGCAGAGCGGACGGCCGAGATGCCGTGGGTGCACCGTGCGTTCCCAGCCCCCGGGCTCACCGTCGGCCGGCTGCTGGAAGTTGATGTAGGCGTAGCCCAGCGAGCGGCGGGTGGCCACGTCGCGGCACACGCGGATGGACAGGATGGGCCCGGCAAGCGAGAACTTCTCGTACAGCATAGCCTCGGTCACGTCGGGGTGCAGGTCGCCCACGTAGAGCGAGGCCAGCGGGAAGCCCGGGCCGCTGGTGTTCATGGCGGGGGGTGGGGGACGAGGTGCCGGCCCCCGCGCCCCGCCTGCGTCACTCGGGCGGGAACCTCGGCGGCGGCGGGCGCGCAGGAAGCAAGGGACTCTCCGTCCCTGCGCGGCCGCCCCTTCTTTTACCACCCCTCGGCGCCCGCGTGCCAATCACCCACGCTCCGGCTCCTCCCCTCTTAGGTCCCCACCTGGGACCCCTCAGCGTTCTAGAAGCCTCCGGAGGCGGGAGAGCCCTCACCTGGCCTGGGGTGGGGCTGTAGAGACGCGGTGGAGCTGAGCTCTCTGGGAGGGCCTGAAACCTGAGTTGTAATCCCCAATGTTATTGCCTTTACGAGCCCGATTCCCGTCTTTGTAAGCTCCCTCTTCGTAAGGATTAAAGAAGACCGGACATCCTGTTTGCATTACAAACAAGAGTATTTTGGAGCGGGATGCCTGGCTATTTTCAAAGGCGTGTACCTAGCCAGCTGAAAGGAGTCTTTTTCTCAAGGCAGCCCAGTCTAGCCCCACCCTCTGGAACCAGCTTTGTGACTTGGGACTGAAGGCTCCATGTGGGAATTCAAGACCACTAAGGCCTTTTTTGACACTGCCTCCTATGTAGTTTGCATAGAGTAGACCTTTTCCTGGGATAGTCCCTGCCCACCTCTTTCTCATTAAGGATCCATTCCACCTGCACACCACTAGGAAGGCTCACCAAGTTACTCTAAGGAACAGTGAGGTCCCAATGCGGTTAGGGCGGTGGTCCCAAGCGGAGCAGCAAGACCCGTCCAGCAATCTTGAGTTTGCAGATTCGATCTGTGCTGTGGAGTCCTTTCTGAAGAATTCCAATCCATGCGGGACAGTACTTCACCTGGCCTCTAGGAGAGGCGGACCCTCCAGATTTCCCTGCTGCAACAAAGCAGGTCCCATTGACCTTTGGCTGGGTGTGTCTCTGAAAGGTGGAACTGCTCCAGAACCAGGGGCAGGAGCTGGTCTGGCTGCCCAGCCGACAGTTGCAAGAAGGCACCAATCAATTCTAATCTTGGGCTAGAAATTACTCCCTCCTCCTAATCATTTTCCTCTCCTTGTGGGAAATCCCGTGAGGATACACAGAGCTGCTGGCTACCATAGTGTTGAGACAGATGACAGACTATTACTTTGGAGATGACCAGGCCTTATGTAACCATCTCACTGTCTTGGTTACATCTCAGGGTTTAAAAAAACAAAAGGAGGGCGTGGGGGGAGAGAAGAGACTTGAATGGGATGCAAAATCCACTGGCATCACCAAATTTTAGAAGCTCCCAAAGACCTAAAGTGGTTTATATAAGGTGGGTAGGCTTTGTATTAATGGTAATTTCTTTCCTTTGAGAACATCTTGACTTCAAGTTCTAAAGGATGACATAAAGCTGTTGCCTACTTTTAAAGAAAGAGTAGAGCCTAAAATGAGTGTGATAAAAAAAAAGTTAGCTAATTCTGGTAGTGATAGAAATGGTGCCACACATCAATTCACAGGCAACTAACTGATAAAATTTTTTATTTCACTTTTGAATTTTTACACGTTTCCTGATTATTCCGTGTAAGGTGGAAACTAGAACTGTTTAAAGACATACACAAATCTAGTACATCAATAACCGGGGATTTTTCTTTTTTTACTATACTATTTTCACAACCACGGGTGTGCTTGCTAGGCAATATAACCATCACAGAAGCAAACGTGAGGCAGAATACTGGTGAGGAAAAACAAAGCAAGAAAGAGCTACCAGATATACAGACAGGCTCGTTCCACGTTCACTACTGCATTTTCAAGCGCCAAGTATTTAACTGCACATTTTTGTTCAGCTAGAAAGGAGGGATTTTTTTTTTTTTTGGTTTGTTTTCATCAGTGCATGAAGGTTTCTTTTCTCATTTCAGCAGATGGACAAACAGATGGATACTACAGCTATGTGGAATGTTAAAGAGAGGGGGGATACTGTGAGACTGGTAGGCCTGGGTATTCTGGATTCTCCCCAATGCAGTGATCATGCAACTTCCCTGCATCAGAGGGTCTTGTTTAAACACGTCTGTGAACTTGGCTGGATGAGTACAGTTGGGAGATCAGGTACCAACAAGCATTATCAGGGCTGGCTGTTAATACAGGGAGGAGTCATGGATATTTAAAAATTCTTTTTGATTCAGATCTTGGTGTGACGGAAGAACAACTGTGCTGAAAACTGGAGGAAGACAGAGCTACGGTGCTGGAAGCTCTTCTTGACTGAAACAAGGCCTGCTCACCAAAGTGCTCACCAATTTCCCTTCTCACCCCCTCCAGGCCTCCTATCCCTGTCCATACAGTATTAAACTGTGAACAAAAGAAAAATAAAGATAAACTTCAAAAAGAAAAAAAAAGGTAAAACAGCAGGACAGAAACTTAAAAAGGAAGAGAAAAAAAAAGTCAACAGTCAAAAAGACAGTAGGAAAGAATGTTTAGATTTCAAAATTTAAAAGCCCGGAGCTAGGAAGAACCCAAAGACTGAGCACTCCTCGTGTGAAAGGCAATCTCTGCAGAACATTATTCATAAAGTTATTACCCAGGAGACAGATAAGGCCATTCATAAGATACACGGCTTGCTTTCTTCTTTAGCTCATGGTTACAAGGAAAGTAAGATTCCACGACTGAAGCACAAGTTGCAAATCAGTGACATTGTTGTAGGACAGGGGTTTTAGTCACGTGTGTTGTATGAGCACTGGACCTTCTCATGGTGTCATAAGCCAGTTAACTGCCACAAAGAATTTCAATTTTCGACTTCGAGTTTCCTCAGAGGAAGACACTGGTCATGAACTTTTGAGTGGCAAGAGCCCCAACTGGTCAAGTGTCTATAAGCCCTGAACAGGCATAATTACTGTGAATTGCCATTAAACTCGAATGCGAAATGACAGGTATCTCACTCCAAGTCCCAGCATCACAATATAATCACTACAACTTTCTGTACAACTGTACAATGGAGCAGTATTTCAGTGACTGTTTAAACTTTCCCAAAAGTTACAGATAATTCAGGTCTATTTTTTCTACCAGTAAGAGTTCTGCTTAGTTACAAAACCCCATAATCACAGTGTTCAGTTTTTAAAAAATTAAACACACAGTAATCCTGTCAATGTTAAAAATCAAAACTTCAGAATGCCGTGGCATTTACGTGACCAATCTGAGTTTAAGATACAAATACCAGCTGTTTATCCCATGGACCATTTTTGCTAGGCTGAGGCTGTGAAAAATCGAAAAGTCAATGTACGATTCTTTTTTTTTTTTTTTATCGCACAAAGGAATATATGTGGAGGGTACAGAGTGACACTGAACAGATCACGGAGCACAATACACATTAGTTCTCTCCCTCCCCAGCATCTCCTTCATCTCCCTGGTTTTCCGACGTCCACAGCTGCAAGAGAAAAACAGAGTTATGATCAAAGCAGGGCTACTAAAATGTACTCTCAGCGGTTTCCCATCTGTAGCACCTTATCTCTCCCTCGACTGTTTAAAATTCTTCCTGTATGAGTGCCAACAGTGATGACTAAAAAGGTCAAAACTTTAGTACTCATTCAACACTTAAATTGAACCAATTTAACACTTTAAAATATTAACTATACTTACAAGGTACAAAACTCTCTTGGGTCTTGGGCAATAGTGAATTATGAGGTGGGTGAGTAGACCATGAACCCTCCAAAAGCAGTCACTGAAACCAGTAGTACTTACAGTGAGATTGTCCCTAAGCAACTGCATGATCAGCGTGCTGTCTTTGTACGACTCTTCATTCAGTGTATCCAATTCAGCAATTGCTTCATCAAATGCCTACAACAAAGAGTCTTTAGCAAAGAAATCACAGGTTCTCTGGAGCACATTTAGTCCAATTTTTTCCTGCTAACAAAGGAATATAATTTATCCTGTCCAGCACTTTGGGAGAACCTAGGTCAGTGATGGCGAACCTATGACACGCGTGTCAGAGGTGACACGTGAACTCATTTTTTTGGTTGATTTTTCTTTGTTCAATGGCATTTAAATATATAAAATAAATATCACAAATATAAGTCTTTGTTTTACTATGGTTGCAAATATCAAAAAATTTCTATATGTGACACGGCACCAGAGTTAAGTTAGGGTTTTTCAAAATGCTGACACGCCGAGCTCAAAAGGTTCGCCATCACTGACCTCGGCCATTATTACCTTGTTTGCTAGTGGTTTCAGCAAACATATAATGAATGTTTATAAAGCACCAACAATGACAAAAATTCTTAGATAAGTCAGCAGGTATCACTGTTAATAAATTCATGTAATTTTTTATTTATTTATTTATTTTTATATATTTTATTGATTTTTTGCAGAGAGGAAGGGAGAGGGATAGAGAGCTAGAAACATCTGGGGATATGCTCGCAACCAAGGTACATGCCCTTGACCGGAATCGAACCTGGGACCCTTCAGTCCGCAGGCCGACGCTCTATCCACTGAGCCAAACCGGCCAGGGCCAAATTCATGTAATGTTTTAATTACCAAAGACATTTCTAGTAATCCTTTAAGAAAACAAAACAAAACACACAAAAAAAACCCCAAACCAAAAACAAAACAAAAAACACTACAACTCAAAAGGTCTGGATACAAGGGATCAAGGGAGAACAGAAATTCACACCACGAACTCTGATTCAATTATGCAACGGAACTTTGAGAATTCATTTCACACACTTTTCCAAATTCTACAACCCAAAGCTTGACAAGAAAAACAAACTACCTTCACCCTGACTTTTCCATAACCCCACCCTCAAATACTAATCAAACAAAAATAAAACACAAAATAGCAGGTGTTAAGAAGAAATCAAAAAGTAGGTCTGAATTTATTTCATAAAATATATACTTAAATATGTATTTTATGAAAATAGTCCAAGACAATGAGTTATATTCAGGAAATAAGTAACTAAGAAGAACAGCACTGTTTTACTATGATCAGAAACCAGAGGGCCTTTCTCACCGTTTTCGCCAGGCTGCAAGCCTTTTCAGGAGAGTTCAAAATCTCGTAGTAAAACACTGAGAAATTCAGTGCCAGGCCAAGTCGAATGGGGTGTGTAGGCTGCATTTCTTTCTTACTAATTTCAAATGCTTCCTGGTAAGCCTGCTGAGAGTTCGACACAGTGGCTAAAAGAAAGATTAAAAAAAAATATTAAAAGGTTGGGTTCTTTCAGAGGCTGCATCACATACTGGACAACTATCAAATTATTTTACCAAACTAGGCTGGATTAAATGTTCAGTGACGCCACCATTTGATTAACAATCATTTGCTAAATGTTTGTTCTAAGTTAAGAACTATATGAAATGCTTTGGGGGAAAACAAAAACAATTATGACAAAGCCCACTAAGGCAGTAAGAAATAGAGAAATAACCTTTAACAAGACAGAACATAAAAAATATGCTCTAGTGGAAAGGTCATGGACTTTGAACCCAAACTTGAATTACCAGCTCTTATTCACTGTGTGTGTCTTGAAGTGAAAACCTCTGTAGCCTTGGTTTCCTTATCAGAAAAATGAACAGACTTCCACCCAAACTCCCAGGGTTGTGTAAGGAATAAATGAGACTCTATAATATTTGGCACATAATAGGCACTTAATAAAACACAGCTATAATTATCACCACCACAGTAATACATGTAAGTGATAAAAGAGATGCATTACTCTTTATATGGTGCTTTCATGGTCAAGTTTCACCTCTAAGGAGAGGGGAGTGGGGGAGAGGAAAACAATGATGTGAGAGAGACACATCAATTGGTTGACTCCTGCATGCTCCCCAACCAGGACTGGGGATGGAGCCTGCAACTGAGGTATGTGTCCTTTACCGGAATTGAACCCGGGACCCTTCAGTCCACAGGCTGATGCTCTATCCACTGAGCTAAACTGGTTAGGACTGCACCAGACTTTTAATGCCCTCCCTATCTTCCCCTTAGATTCATTTTGATCTGTCAACCCACTTTATGACTAAACACATGAAGTGCTTATCACACAGGTCAGCACAATGCTGTGGTCTTTCTGAGTACTGTGATGTTAGTGTCTACAGTGAATAGACAAGGAAAAAACTGTTAAAATTATTATAAAGGAAAACTGACTCCACTAGTGCTCAAATTTCTTTTCTTTTTTAATGTTACTTACTTTGCTTATTGTCTCCAGAAGCCACCTCAGAAAGATATCTAAAATAATCTCCTTTCATTTTCAAGTAGAACACCTTACTTTCTGGTTGTGTAGCATTGGGAATAAGATATTTGTCCAACAGCTCCTAAAAAATGATTCACATTTTGTTAAGAATCTGGAAATATTATTTACAAGATGTTAAAACTATGTCTGAGATTCAAGATACACACTACCACTTCTAAATATTTTTTTTGAAGATTAAAAAAAACATTTTTCATCCAAAGCGTTTAAAAGTTTTTAGCAGATGTCTGTTTTCTTCTGTTAAAAATCACTTCACCATCCATAAGGGGTTGATTAAAGTAGAGCCATACAATGGAATGCTATGTAGGCCTTAAAAATGACGATGTGGAACTACACTGTTAAATATGAAAAGGTTCTCAAAAGAATTCTGAGTGAAATAAAAATGGCAGATTACAAGTATCACATGAATCCTATTTTAATATTAAAATATGTGTCTACACGCACAAAAATACGTACAGGAAAAGTCTGGAATGATACTTTCTCAATGTTAATAATGGTTCTCTAGGTGACAGGAACTATCTGTATGACCTTGGACAAATGACCTAACTATCCTTAGCCTCAGTTTCCTCTGCTCTCCAACAGGAAGCACAATAGCCATCTTCTAGAGTAGTTATGAGAAAGAGCTAAATACATGAAGTGCTTAACATGTTGCCTGGCACATAGTAAGCACTCAAAAGGTAGCTACTACTATTATTAATAATAAATTCCTTTAAACATTTATGCTTACAACAAAAGCAGTTCTGAAGGAGTCCAAGCTTCGTAAACAGAGCAATATTTTCGAAGAGTTGTTTTAGAATGTGGCATCCTGAAAAACTGGTTAAGAGGCAGTAAGTACCATGCGTTCTTCACATTCTTTCAGATGCTCTTAAAAGCTGGTCTACATTTTCAGGAATTATGGAACTTTCTTGCCCTTGGAATACATGCCATACTTCATCTGAATATCAGATGCACCTAACATTCAGGAATTAGTGCACCATTAACAAACCCCCAAATTACCAACAGGCAACAAATTTAGTCATGACATTCTTACACTATGAGTCTAACAAAAAGAGCAGCTCAATGCAAAAGCTTAGTTATAAGGGGATGTAATCAATCAAAGTGAAAAGATGCAAAGGGCAATAGTAATTTTAATTCTTTGCAGACAGACAGGGTGCAACTCCTCATGGGTTAGGGATGAGGAGAACTGCCTGATGGCTGACAAGCTTTGTACAGGTTTTCAAAAGAAAGGTGTCATGGGCAGTAATTCGGAGAGGCAGCCAGCAGGGGAGGAGGTAGATCCACAAGTGTGAATTCCTTTTCCCTTCAAAGCAGCCCTCACCGTTCATTTTTACCTGATTTCACCTGGAAGAAAAAAAAAGTTCCCAGTGGGCTCAGGATGTGAGGGAAAGACAATATGATCATGATTTGCTCTAGGATATGCACCCCTCCCATCCAACCCCAGATGGTGGTCAGAGTGAAAGCAGTTAGGAATCAATCATCTGACCAAGGTTCCTATAAAACATAGGAGAGGAAAATCCCCAAACCACTGTTGATTTGGCTTGGGAACGCAGGCCCAAACTGACCTACGTGGCTAACTTTCGGACAAAAGCAGGACTTTACACTGGGCAGGCATGAAAAGCAGCTCAGCTTTTTGCTCCTAGTGTACAGAATAGCCTCTCTGTGCTGCATCTACCTATAATCCTGCCTATCTGGATTCGACTTCTAAAGAAAAGATGGAGGAATGTTGACTAAATGTTCCTATTTTTCACAGGTCTTTTTGAAAGGAGAGAGGAAAATTCCCCATAAGTGATAAGCAACCTCTGATCAAATAGGAGGTAAGAAAAATAACTTCATATGCTTAAAAATTACTTGCAAATGGTTTGCAGCTTTCCAGTATACTCAGACACCTTTGTCTCATAAGCTGTTTTGAGAGTTTGCATTTGAACATTAAATTAATACAACTTACAAATAACTGTTTGAAACAGAAGCACTGGCCTTACCAGAACATCGTTGCAGATGTCCTGCAGTTCTGCCTCTATCTTCTCCCGGTACTCTTTGCCCATCTGCTGCTTCTTCTCGTTCCTCTCTGTTTTCTGTTCAATGCTGGAGATGACACGCCAGGAAGAACGGCGGGCGCCTACCACATTCTTGTAGGCGACAGAGAGCAGATTTCTCTCTTCATTGGAGAGTTCATGCCCCTGTTCCGTGACTGCCTTCATAGCTGCAGCCATGTCATCATAGCGCTCAGCCTGCTCGGCGAGTTTAGCTTTCTGTACCAGCTCACTTTTATCCATGGTCATTCCCTAAAACAAGAACAAGAGAAAAAGAAAGCAAATGTCAGGCTTTAGGGTCCAGAAAATGCGTGTGTGAATCTTCTTCCACCCATCTGAAAAGAAACATACCTGTATGTGTAACATCTATTTCCAGATGCCCTCAACAACACTGACCAGAAACACCTATCAGCTTAGGTATTTTGCTAAGATTTTTTTCTTACTTTGGTCAATTAATTTACCCAACAATACTACAGGGTAGATATGTTCATAATAATCCCGTCCCCCTTCTTTGAGGTGAAGAAATAGAGGTTCAGCAAAGGCAACGCTGCTTAGAGATGATAGAGAGCCAGAACTCAAATTCAAGTGTCTCTTTCTCTACAGTTTTTGTTTTCTTCTACATTCCTCATCTGCCTCAACACATAGAGACTGCTTAATAACGATTTCTTTAGAAACTTATGCTACATATATGTTCTTTTCTTTTTTCAAAAATTGTCCGGTTTGACCAAACAGTGTAGGGAAAAATATCTTAAGTGTGATGATTGCTTTAATCTTCAGGCAAAAGATATGATTTTATGTTATATTTGGCAGTGCCCATCAAGCAGTAGGTACCTAAAAAACACGTGCCATTTTTATCATATCTTCTGTGATTTGCTAAATTTGTTACAAGAATACGCTGTAGCATAAATCATGGGCAGGCAAATTTGGCTCTAGCACCAGCCCTGCTACTTACAAGTGATATGACCTTGGTCAAATCGCTTAACCTATGAGCTTTGTTTCCTCAGTGGAAAATAAGAAAACTACCAACTCTCCACAGGATTATATACAAATTAGAGGCCCGGTGCACGAAATTTGTGCACAGGATGGGAGGATATGGGGGGGGGGGGCGGGAGCGGGTGGTGGTGGTGGCGGGGTCCCTCAGCCCGGCCTGCACCCTCTCCAATCTGGGACCCCTCGGGGGATGTCCAACTGCCTCTCACAATCCGAGACCGCTGGCTCCTAACCGCTCACCTGCCTGCCTGCCTGATGGCCCCTAACCACCTCTGCCTTGCCCCACACCCGGGACACAGGATTCCCTCCTCCGGCCGGTCGCAGGCACCCGGGACCCAGGCTTCCCTCCCTCTGGCCGGCCGCAGGCACCCAGAACCTGGGCCGGCTGCAGCCACAGGGGACTGTGTGCAGGCAGCTTCACACAGGCAACAGCCGCAGGTGCCCGGGACCACGGGGCGGGCGGCTTGTCCCTCTCCCGGGTCACAGCCTGGCTGGTCCCTATTCCTCTCTCCCCAGTGTTGGGTGTCTGAGCAGTTACGGTGTGATGATGTGACGACCATCTGCATATTAGCTCTTTATTATATAGGATATCAAGCACTAATTCAGTACATGGTATAGGTTGTGAGAGATATGAGTGTATTCCACAACATGCACAGCAACAGAACTTCAAATTATAATTGAGTTCATCTAAAAGTTTCTCTGAAATAGACAAAAATCTTAGTGGCTTCAGTTTATCATTTTATCAAACCCTTTATACACCAATCAGTGAATGCCTTTTAAATTACTCACCTCACCTTAGTCAATTCCCCACTATAATAATCACCATTTATAGAGAATACAGTAAGTTTTGGATGACATGTAGCTACAAAACTATTAGCCAATACAAAATAATTTTATGTACTATTGGTTTAAATTTCAATATATCCATCTGTGCCAGTGTAAAAATACACTAACACCCCAAAGTATAAAAAGATAAAATACTACTTTAAATAGTAATAGGAATACCAGTATTTTTAAAACAAATGCTCTCATTACTATA